CTATAGAATGATAGGTTTCTTTTTTTTGTAGTGTAAAACACTTAAATACACCATTTCGAAAAAACATATTTATCTGTAAATATATTAACATTCATGTTATAATTTTCTTATATCTTCTAATACAGATTTATTTTTAAATTCCTATCAAAAGTTTTATCCTGTTATCAATTTAACAGATCTTTTAATTGAGAAACTAATCTCATGTTGTTCTAGATGAATTTCAAGTTTTTATAAACTGTATTAAACCTACTCTTTCCCGGAGTCTTTCATCCTTCACCAAAGAACCTTTATCTACCTGACTTCTCTTCATAATAATGTCAGCAGTCTGTGTTAAATAAACAGATATATTTATTTAAATGGAAGTACAATTCTGAATCAAATTACTGTATTGGCCCAATTATAGGGTAATCTTGAATATAAGGCAACCACCATTTTCAGAAACCATGGAAAATAAAAAAAATTAGGCATCATAACATCCTTTTTTTAGGTCCAAAAAATCAATACTATAACTGAACAGCCTGCAGGTGGATTAGTTGCAAGAATTAGCAATGACCATGAGCAAACATCTGGCATACATGTGTACACAGATACTATCTGGACATTCAAGATTTGACAGGCTAGAGGAAGGGGAAGGGGCCTGTGGTCAACCACGATTATAAGGTGACTATGAATTTTACAGCCTAATTATTAATCAAAAAACACTGCCTTATAATTGGGCCAATACGGAATCTTTTGTATTTTTAAATGCAAGTAATATTTCCAGCATTTCACTCAGATTTTATAATAAAAGAAAATGTTTAAGATTTGAATATACTGTCTAAATAAAAATTGTTTGCTGTTTAGCTCAATAAACCATAGATTTAATCTCCTCACAATAACACAAACCTTCGTCTTTCAATGATAGCATATCTTCCTTCTTCCTAAATTTTAGAGTTATCAGGGATAAGTACCTTCATATTTTAACAAAAATAGCATATTTTCATTGTCAGATACATTACTTACAAGTTACACTACAATCCAACAAAACTAAATGCCAATTGCAGACTTAGACAAGAATCATAAGGTGTATTTATGGAGTATATAAAGAAGCAACCATCTCCTCCCACCACAACCCTCACTTTGGAAACCAAAGTTATACTCATGTGTAAATGGTCAAAACAATAATGCCAATGGTACGTTTTTGTGATCAAAACTTCTGTAAATAACATTTGAACTTTTTCAGTCATTCTCCTGAAAGTTAACATTTTCTAACACTGAAAATGGATTTCTGAAAGGCACTTACCTCCTCTCATTCAAAGTTATCTCGACCTTGATTTGCTCTCTAAGCATTGCTAAAATTTTCAACAGCACACCAGTCTATTATATTCCTTCATTTTTGCACGATGTGATTTTGCTGATTATGTGATTACCCTCAATCAATCATACTGTATCATCTATGCAGGTAGCTCCCTCTACCATAGCAGCACAGTCCTCACTTTTGAGAATTGGCAGATAGAAACCAGAAATACCGGCAAATCAGTAGGGATGAAGGGTTGGAAGTGGATTATAGAAAAGGTAAGTACCTATCGGTAATATATATTTTCTGTGTTAGAAAATGTTAACTTCCAAAATGGTACTACCTCCCTTCACCCAAAGCTAGAATCTTACACATCAAAGGTGGAGGGGCTAGTGAAGACACAAAAGTAATCAAACAACCAGCGAACAACCACCATGAAAGAACAGGCGTGCCACAATTATAAAAGGAGGTACACATGGGGTATAGCACTACTTCTGGAACAGGTATGCTCTTCGCCCTGTAATGAACAAAGTAAGACACATAGGGTGGAACTTAATAGACAGGCACCATGTCATGTACAATAGATTCCATCGATGGATAACAGATACATGGCTAGGGCTAAAGTACCATATAAAATAGGCAAAGTGCAGTCCACCCAGGCAAAAAAACATCCAGAGGAAGTGCCTTGGAATACGATGGATTATCCCAAGTGTGGTCCATCTGGGCAAAAACAAAATTGGAAGTGCCTTGCATAAGTTTATAAGACCAACAAGTGTGGTCCACGCTGGCAAAAAACATCCAGAGGAAGTGCCTTGGATATATATTATGATAGCCAAATGTGGTCAGCTGAGGAAAATATCCAGGAGAAGCACCTTAATATACCTCAGATTATATCAAGTACAGTCCATCTGGGCACAAACCCTCCAGTGGAAGCACCTTGCATATGATCTTACATTTCAAATTTTGTTCGTAACTGATATTGTAATCAAGTGTGGTCAGCCCGGGCAGAAATATCCAGGGGAAATGCCTTGTGATATTATAGAGTATGTCAAGTGCAGTCCATCTGGGCAGAAAACATCTAATGGAAGTGCCTTGCATAAGATTGATCATTATATGTTTTGATCGTAATATAATTAGAGATCAACAAGTGCAGTCCACCCCTGCAAAAACATCTGGGGGAAGAGCCTTGTGATATTATTGAGTATGTTAAGGGCGATCCATCCTGGCAGAAAACATCCAGTGCCTTGTGTTTTATTGAGTATAGCAAGTGCAGTCCATTCCGGACGGAAAACATCCAGTAGAAGCACCCTGCATAAAAATATATTTCATGATCAACAAGTACAGTCTACCTGGGCAAAAAACATCTGGAAGAAGTGCCTATTATGATAGTATATAATATTAAATATAATAACGTTAGCCCTCTTCTCACTGTGTGGATACAAATGATCTATGAATTTTGATTTGATTTATTGTACAAACCAACTTCTGGGGAACTCCACGGTCCGCCACTCCAGTGACTGGGAACCAGAAGTGGGAAGGACTCCCTGCTCCACTAGAAGAAGGGGGAATACGTGTTGGGGAGTCAGCAGGAACTACACACTGGAGACAGTGCAATGGGTGTCTGCAATTTCCTATTTTGAAAAGCAGAAAAACCCCGATTGTACGAATTACAGGTCAGTAGGGATGAGCAAAAATCCCCATCTGCTTTACTCATTAAGTCCAAGAGTGACAGTCCTTTATATATGATACAGTGATAATAAAAAAATATATGTGTACACAGATATATACACACACACACACACACCCCACCAGATAAGCAGCCAGTGGTCATACAGAAACATCCATCTCCACAGTGAGCATTATAAAAGTATACAGATATAAAATTCTGCATACCTGACCAAGCAACTCCCACCACCAGGTGGAATCCTGAAATATAATGTGTATCAACGAAATAAGGTAAAACATAATAGGATATCGACTTACCTCAGTCAAAGGCAAACAGACATGTGTAGAATTCCCACAGGAGGAAGACGATACCCACCCAAGGAAAACACAGCTACACGGTGCAGAAAAAGTGAAAAATACATTGGGAGTTGTCCACATGCCAGCCTGAATGATCTCCTTCAAAAAATGGTAGTTTTGAGTGCTAAATACTTAGTTAAATGATGAATTTGGTATGAAGAAACATTATGTGCACAGTGAACTACCATGGACACGTTGAAATATGCCAGTCGTATGAGTTGACACTCTCAACTATGAGCATAATAGGTGAAAAATCATGGGAAAGAGAGAAATGCCATGGAACAAATAGACAGGAATGAGACCATGAAAGGAGGATGTACAAGCCATATTACAGAGCAGGGAACAAACTGGACAAAGTAGATGATCCAGATCTAAATGGGAATATGGGTAGGAAAAGGATGGTAAGGAAATAGGAGAAAAAGCAAAACAACCTTTCTGGGAAGCCAATGCCCTGGGAAGGAAGGAAGGCCTAATCCGGATAAAGGATAACATACAAGGAATGGTAAAGAATGCGAGTGAAGATGGCATGCAACAGATCATACTACCCAATAAAACACACATGAAGCTGAAGAAAAAAATTGAATGGCAGCTCCCAGAACTGGAAGACAGAGCCTTTGTAGATGAACTGACGAAAAACGCCGTGACATTGGGGCAAAAAAACACCAAAGTGAGAGGTAGAACTCCATGGTGAAGCAAAGCATCTCCAAATAAATATACTGCTGGGACAGAGCTATGATGGGACTCCAATCTCCCTTGTTTTTGGAAACAACACAGAGACGGGAGTAAAATCCCGGTTGAGGGGGCACCACCTGGTCAATAGCTCCTTTGTGTAGAAGGTCTTGAACAGACTCGGCAAAACGACTGGACATGGTACGATCCCTAGAAGAAGGGAAAGTGATCTGGGAAGTGTATAAAGGGGGAGCAAAACGGAAGGCAGAAACCCTCAGATAGAACCCATATAACCCATGGAACTGTTGTGAAGTGTAGCTAAAAAGATACATAAACTAAACATACTTAGAGTAAGGACTCACAATAAACAAACTAACAAAACTTAGAAATGTGTAGAGTCTATAGAGTACAGAAAAATAACAAATTTGCAAAAACTATGAAATTTGATTGAAAACATAAAAGAAGATGTACCACCAAAAGTACAAAACCATTCAATGAACTTAGAAAATAAATGACCCTTAAATATATAACTTATAAGTAAGTCCACTAAAAAAATCTATAAGACAAAGGACACGAAATTAAAACTGACCCTGAAGAATATGAGAATAAAAAGGCACCAAGTTAACAATAACAAAGTTTGACTCAAAACTAATCCCCAATTAGATTTGACTAGTAGTAAAGAAAAAGGAACTTACAAACTAAATAACATTATCTGAGAACAGAAATAAAATTTTAAAACAAAAATAAAGGAATAATCAAACTCCAAACAAAAGTTTAAAGTAACCTGGATGGTAAAAGAAATATAAAAATCTAACTTACCCAACACTAAGTAGAGAAAATATGAATGACCTAAATTATCAAGTGCAGAAATTAGGTCCATCCACACAAACTCATATAAAGTCATTGAACATAGGTATACCTACAAAGAGTGAGAAAAACACACTGAAAACTTACCACAGAACTCCTAGGAAAAAGAACAATACCTAACCCAGCAGATTATATAGAGACACAGTATCAGGTAGAAAGTGCCGTAGAATGACAATTTCCGCACAGTAGTTATATCCCTCGGCACAAAAAAATGTAAAACGAAAAGAAAAATTGTTGGCCAAACGTAAGACACGAACTCCCCACAAATTAAAGCCTATTCTTCAGACATCATCGACCCTGAAACCTAGGACTAGTGTCAGAACCATTGTCTTACTTATGGCAGGAATTACATCATTCACCATACTAAATCTCGATTTAATAAGAACAAAGTAGAATTCTCTAAACGGAAACATTTCTAAAACAAACGAGTAGAAACAATGAAAATGAAACACAAGAAGTAGAAACTTGAAGATGAAATTGATATAAATTTGTGATCAAGCACAATCAAAATTTTGTAGTCACATGGAAAACGAGTTAAAACACATGTCTAGACACTAGAATGTCAATCAAGAAAGTGTGGATTGCGCTGCAATGGTGGAGGGAGGTACCTGCACTAGTACAGATGATGCAGTATGATTGGTGGAAGGTTGTCATATGATCAGCACATGTTGTTGCAATGGCACAAAAATGAAAGGGTATAATAGAATGGTGCACTGCCAAAAATTTTTGCAATGCTTAGAGGACAAATCAAGGTCGAGATAGCTTTAGGTGAGAGGATGTAGTACTGTTTCAGAATTAATACTGAAGATCATCCTAAGGTAAAGAAATTTCAGTTAATTTTGACACAAATATAAAGTAGAACTATAAATACTTTGGTTATTACACACACACACATATACATAATGCAGAATGAGGAACTGACCTTCATTCCACAACAAACACCCACAGTGAAGAATAAAACTATCATTTGTGGCAACCAATACAAATATCATTTGTAGATATCAAAAACACCCACTGTTCCAATTAACAGCCCAAAATTCCTTCATAAAAACAAACCTTATTATATCTAAATTATTATCTTTGTTTTCTGTGTATAGTTATTCTGGAAATGACCCAAGTACCCTTTAAAGTATATTTGCTTTAACCCATCCACTACTGATTTGCCATATAGGGTACAGTCTGCCCCTGTATACATTGTACAGCTCACAAAAATTCTGCACGTTTAAAGCCACCACAGTCAAAGAGCAAACAATGAAAAAAGTTAACAATCATCTAAGTGCACTCAGAGATATAGATGTGTAACAAGTTCATACGTACATAACAAGCCTATTCATAATTAACATAAACTTCCACTTAAGGAAAGTTATTTTCTCAAATTAAAACAACAAATCAATCTGGTAATGAGTAAAGGTATCCAAATAAATCATTCTTATGGATAATCAATATGAAAAAAAAGTCCATAAACCCATAAGTAGAAAAAACGTTTCTCTCAGTAATAATAAAAACAAAACTAATTGCCTTATATCAATAAAAAAAACTGTAAGGTTGATAACTCTGATGACAAGGCATAACTAATTTTAAGAATGTACTAGTCGTGTGCATATAACAAAACTAATGCACAATAAACTTACCTGAGCTGCTCGACTAAGATCACTTGTAAATACATGAGTATACTTTTGATGCTGTAGATGTCGGGCTAAGTGCTCAGCTTGTTGTAGTCCAGTTTCAGATAAAGGCACATCTAATTGCCCTTAAAAAAGTTTTATCTTTAAATACATAATGTTTAAAACATCAAAACTGGGAAAAAATAAACATTTCATTCACAGTAATAGTAAAATGTATGAACAACTGGTTCTCTCTTGTGTACTTAATGTATTTCAAGAATTTGAATATCCAACATTTGGTTCAGATCAGGTTATTTTCAATTATTTTAATTCTAACTGTGGAGCTAACATGCACCTTCAAAGACAGCCTCTAGTGAAAGTGTAACAACATATGAAACTGTACTTTCTATAATTAATGATATTGTAAAACTGCAAATCTATATAAATATAATAGTACTGTCTGTTGTATGTCCATGTAACTACTTTGCAGGGTGTGGATGGATCTTTACCAAAATTGGGTTCATGGGGAGATACATACAAATTTTGAGTTTTACATATTGCCATTTTTGCATTTTTTACCATTACTTTGCCCCTGTAGATGGTTCTTCACACAAATTTGGTTATGGAGGTTCATTGAGTCCAAGGGGAGATACATACAAATTTTCAGTTTTGCATTTTGCAGTTTTTATGGGCATTTTTGCATTTTTTACAATTAATTATAAGGGAAGCAACTTTTCATGTCCTAAGATAACCTTTCGTTAATCATGAATTTACATAACTTCTGTCCAGGGGACGGGTACTCCAGCTAGTTATCAATAAAATATTTTCATGACGTGCAAGTCATACAAATTAAGTTCACTTCAAAAGACCATTATCAATCTATAGATTAAAAAACTTTTAAAGCCAATTAAAAGTTATGAGTTTTTAAATTTAAATTTGTCTTTATGAATAAACAAGCAAGGATATGCAAGCTTGCCTCCAAACCAGGTATGTGGGGTGCAATTACATATTAACATTCATCACTAGATCATGATATCTACATGTATATTTACATGCATATCAAAAGTTACTAAACATATAGTGTCTTAAAATTGTCACAAAGAAAAAATACAAAGTGGTTTCAAAGAACTAGAAAAAATAATGATCAATTCTGATAATCTTTTTGATATTAATATATTATAAAACCTTAGACACTAAGTTCTATTTGAAAATATGAAGAAATATTTCATTTATTATATGATACAGAAACCTCTTGTAAACTATACAAGGTATATTGAAGTTGTAAACAGTATCAGAAAAAACTGTATTCTGTTGCTTTTTAACCAAACCACATGTACACAATGAAATAAAAAAAATCCTGAGCACCTAACTTGAATCCATTCATTTCTATGTACTTAGATTTTATATGTATATATACCATATCAAAAACAAGTCTTACCTTGAATGACATTGTCTTTGTTGTGTCCAGTCTCACCACTAGAGCAAAAATATTAATGGTGTATATTGAAAATAAAATACTTTTAATTTCATATTGTAATCAACTTGTCTAAAAAAATCACATTAGTAAGTGGAAGCTAAACCAGGTTTTTTTAAAGATACTGAAAATGACCCAGAGAAAATCTAGCACACTCTTGAAAAGTGCTGAAGCTTCGGGCCCATTTTCAATATCTTTAACATCTGTGATCCCATAAACTAACAACTTATTTTCTTATAAATGTTTACTGGAATCTAATTTTTCTTAAACACTGGACTCTTATTTATGCTTGTATAATGCTATATGCTTAACATTTTTAAGAAACACAAACCTGATACACTCATGTATATGTTCAAGTGACCAAAAAAAACACAAGATGTCTATTAGAAATTATAAGTATTATACATATACTTTGGTTTTAGTTTCTGTGATAATGCAATATATTTGTCCCATGATCCATCCATACCAATATTGCTCTAATGACTTTAGAAAGTCATAGAGGCTAAATACCAGAAGTATATCTCCCACTTCACAAATGTAACCAGTTCATTTTATAGATAAACTCCATCTAAATAAGTTAAACACAGTAGTGTCATTTTCTATATTTTTTATGCTATAACGATTCACTGGGTTCCATACAAAATACTAATGATGAGATGATCCCATCCTACTTTCTCAAACTATAATAAATACCTTCCAAGGTATAAGAAAAACTTGTTTATTGGCTAATGGCTAAAATAATATGAATTCAACAGCCAATAGTTAGAGTTGACATTGTAGCAAACATACTACATAATGTTTTTTTAAAACCAATAATCAAGATTATTTTTTCTAAATGGACATAACAGAATTTAAGTGTAAGTTAAATAATTTTTTTTCTGGTGATGGTGATGTCTATTACAAAACAAAGTAAAACATAAGCTTGCCAACAAGTGCATTTATCTTGGCGACAGCAGGTTTCTCAGCCCATCATAGACACTAACTTTCCAAAACCTCTAACCACACAAATAAAAGAAAATCTTTGTCTAAGTAATCATATATTGAAATAATCTAGAAAATATAATAGAAATACAATCAAGTAAACCTTTCCAGAAAATGCTAATTAAACATCTGGAAAGCTTAAATCATTTCATTCCATGTTTTTAAGGAATCTTTTTCTCAATTAGTAAAATTATGGCTATAAATATCAACACATAATCAGGTAACTTCAACCAGTAGCTAATAGCATCTAATACAGGAAATGTTATGCAAGAGGTAACTTCAAACTGATAACATGATAAAATAACAAGCAAGAAAACAGAAGTGAACTTATTAATATACATTTCTTTATTAAAAGCATAGTCAGACTTCTAATTTTGTTGATTTTCTATGGATCACTTGCTGGGATGAAGGACAGCAACACAGTATGTAAGAGAACAAATGCAAGTGAGAGCTAGATATAAAAAAGTATGAAAGACAATAGTGTGTACATTCCATTGTTTAAAAGTCAGACCAAGATCAATATGTGGTATTACATAATCTATAAATTACATATATCAACCACTGAAATATATATATATATACATAATCTGAAACATTCCAAACCAGCTTGTAAAGGTTTCTGCATAACCTCCTTGAAAAAAGGCTAACTTCTCCAAAAGTCCATACAGAAATGCTACACATTAGCTTGAGACTTATAAACACTGCAACATGTAACATTCTCTATGACATTATGGCCTTCAAATAATCTGGTAAGAATGGTGGTTGTAATTAACTACATGTAGCAACTTCATGGAAATTTACAAATAAAAGCATGTGAATATATTCATATATCCTATCCTAGTTATGAAAGGGTAAAAATATTATATTAAATCATCATATTCTCATTATAAGTTCTTAAAGACTCAGTATTACCTATAACTCTCTTTTATGTAATTTATGAAGGCATCAAAACCCTTAAGGCTTAATTAATGTTTCTTTTTGTTTATGTCAATAAAACTCAGTGACTTTCATTTTATTATTCAATCTAATAATGTTTTTAAGTCAATGTTCAACCCTTTCTTTTAATGATAATTTAAGTGTCCTATTCATCCATTTAGGAATAAGCTTTGGTGGAAATACATTCATTTTCAATTAGTTTGTTTGATAAATATTAAATTCCTAAAGTTTTTTTAGTTTTTTCATTTAGTTCAAACATCCAGTCTTTGCACTTTTATTACAGCCTGCAATGTTTGAAACCCAGCTATTTTAAAATCAAGAATGTTATTGTAATTTGCAGTTACACATTCTTCAATAACTAGAATTATAATTTCCTCAGTAAGAAAAACAAGATCTGAAACAACCTTCTCTATATAGAAAGTTTATTAGTTATTTTGTACAGTTTACTAAAACTATTACATCATAGTGAGTAATTTTTTTTTTGCCCATTACTGTGGTTAGCAGAAGTTATTAAAAACTGCCTTACAAGCAAATGCTTGTAGGTTAACTATTTAATTCAGCTGACAGAGCACTTATTTGGTGTGCGAGAAATCTTGGGTTTGAACCTCAGCCAAAGAAATGTAAAAACAAATTTAAATATATTTTTCATGTGCCTGTATATTATTTGAGAAAGTGTAGTCAATGTCATGGACCCACAAGCAATTAGGTGCATAAACAGTTTATAAAATGCTGGTGCCATCTGTAATTATATGGTTTAAAATATTCAACATGATATCCAATTACACAAACATTTAGCTCTTTAGTAAATTTTCTACTTATGATATTAACATTTACATTATACTAGTTGTAAAGTCTGTCTTGAAGTTGACATATACTTTGTTGTTTAGGCCTACATCCAATATGTTTAGTAGTACATATACATTGCAAATTTTACAATTTTGCATAAATTTGGATATATTTTTTATTAGTTTCTTCAATATTAACTTTAAATTCCATTTTTAACTAATTATCTAACTCAGATTTGAATTCTTATTTTAGGTTATTTTTCAGCTATGACTTGTGTTTTACTTTGTTCATTCTGTTTTACTTTTAATACTTGCTCCATCAGTAATTAACTCTAATCATCTATTATCAGAGAAAGTTACTAACTTTTTCTAGTTGTTTTTTTTTTCATTTCAGGCAATTAAATAAATGTTAAATGATATAGTTCATATTTTATATCTACAGTATCCAATAAAATTTTAGATAATACAAACTAACAGCATACAAAATGTCAGGCAAGCCATCCCATGAATTTATAACTAAACCAAATAAATAATTTTATTGGAGAACAAGTCTTTCTTAGGTTTCCAAAGCTTAAACCTAAAAGCTGTATTACGTAAGAGCATAAGAAAAACAGATGGAGACAGAAGGTCACTGGGCACACTGAAGACACACCTCATCCAGAAAAGGTTTATGTCCAATTTTTCAATCAAGCCCTTAACTAAACCACCTACATGGAGGTTATTCAAATCACTAAGAATTTTTAACATCTGAATTAGGCCTACTCTAATTCTTCTACTGTATATTATAGATAAAACAGGTTTAAAACTTGAAGTTTCTTTTTGAATTTGAATAATTTAAGCCAGGTAACATTCTACAAGAATGTATCTGCACTCTTCTTAACATTTTGATATCCTTCTTGTAATAAGAGGACCAAAGTTGCACTTTCAATAATATAATATTCACATGAGGTCTCAGGTCTTGCATTCCTAAAAATTTAACTAAAAACTGTTAATTGCTTTGTTTGTAAAAGGTAAATATTCAGATGGCTTAACAGTTTTATCAGTTGTTATATCTACTTCCAGAAAATAATTAGTTCAATATTTCATAGCATTTTGTGATCCAAATCAGATCTATTTGTGATTCAATCTTATCTTACGTAGCACTAAGTGCAACTTTTACTAAAGGGAATGTGTAACTTAAGTTTGAGATTTTTAATTATTTGTAATTTGTACAATTTTCTGTGTTCAGTTCATAAAAGTAAGTAATCTTCTGTATGATGATAAATTGATAACACTGATGTTTAAAAAAAGTTTTTAAGGGGTTAGGCTTAATACTTTTACTCTTTTAGAACAAGGTCTGATTTGTATTTTAGGAGATAAAGATGTATCTTTGCTAGAAAAATAGATTAATGGGTAGGTCTAATGAGGGAAAGCCTTGTATATTAACACATTCAAAGTGTAGAATTTATAGAAATTCTAAATATAGTATTAAAATACTTTTTACTTTGATTCAAGCAATTTCATGCAATATTTGTTTTCTTTGTTGCACATACCCAAAACAGTATGTTAGCCAGATGCTGATGCAGTGCTATGCAAGTTTTCCAAATGCTATACAAACTTATTTTCTTAGCAACCAAGTGTTATGCAAAATGTTTGAAACAAATTATCCCCTGCATTCACATAGAACAAAGGTCCTTTTTGTATACTTATGTGCATAGATTAACATTGACAAAAATTTTAGAGCATTCTTGACAAGTCCTAATGCTGTATAGGTCTTTGATTAAAACATTCTCAATGCAATCAACTTTCCCAGCATCTTAATAAGTTTATGGTTTGGAAGCCTAGCTGTATAATGTAGACTTGTTCTTCTGAGAATTTGGATATAATACTCTTCAAGAAGATATCCAAATCATTGACATAAATAATTAGTAACAAAAGTTCCACAACAAAAGTAAGATCCCACTTGTCACAATTCCAAAGTCTTAAAAAAGTAATTTTCCATTACTTTTTGCTTAAATATAGCATACACAATGGGCCATTTGGTCCTCCAAGGATGACCTTTCACACACAACCCTTAAGTAAAACTTTAGTTCCACCCTTTATTTTTCAGGAAATTGTTTATTTTTTCTCCACTTCTTAACTTATCCACTAATCCAATTAAATTTCAAATATATTATGATTTTCAACAATAGTTTTCAAATCCAACTAATGTGCCTTCAGTTCTTTGATCTTCCCTAGGCCTTTTTTTAACATGGTAATCCTTAGCATCTTCTATTACACTGTTAAACTTAATAGCCTTATAAGCTAAGTTTTCCATATTCACCTACTTAGAACAAATATTTTAACTGAAACCAAACTCTTTTAGAGATACATATTTCTTTTTAATAACTTAAACAAAATAACATTCCAAACATCACTAACCACTTTCCATTTGAAGTTGCCACCAAACTTCTCTATAATATTTTAGCTTTCAGAAGTCAGCTTCCCTAACTCACCTTTAGTACACCCCTATACCCTATAAACAAACTATACATTAACATTTCTCAACCTTTTCGATACTAGGGATCTGCTCACTCCTTTCCTAAACTGTTAGGGCACAACAAAACTCCATTGCAATTTGTGTGTGAATACTCTGTCAGTTTCTTTATTTGTTTGTTTTTGTGAAATGCCATGAATCAGCAAGGTGATTGTGATGGACCAGAGCCGGTCCGTGAAATGGTAGTTGAGAAACACTGCTTTACACCTTTGCTAAGGAATTACCAAGTTTTTCTAAAACAGCACCAGAAAAAAAAACACACATATATATATTACTATTCTAGACAAGAAGAACACAACTTTTAAACTCAAAACAAAATTTAATTAAGCTAAAGGAATCACACTCATATCCTTACCACTATTTACATTACAAAACAAGCCTAGCACCAACAAAACTTTCCTAATACTTAAATATAAATTTTAATATCCAAGCATATAAGGTGAAACCTTATTAAAGCAATCCTTTAAGAAATTTGTCATTCATTGTAAAAGATATAGATCACTTTTTGAAAAGCTCCATGAATCTGTGGATGTCTCAGACTTGTGAATACTTCTCTTATACAGAGGGATTTGTTTTTAACAATATTAAATGTACATTGCTGTTAAACCAGATTAAAAATTGATTTCCTTGTATGGAGATTTTGTTTTTCCGTAAAGAAAAGTTAAATATTACTAACAGGAGTTGTGGGACAATTATAGTAATTCTGAGTTTAAGAGTAAGAGGGTTATTGTAATCTGGTAAACCTCTTTTCGAATATGCAGTTTTGATACACTTAAAATAGGAAATATATTAATTTGCTGCATAGCATACAGAGTTAATATTACTGAAGTAACATCTAGTTTAAATAATTCCAGTTATGAAGAGGGGTATAAAGATATGGACAGAAATTCTTTGTAGTGTAGAAAAATGACAGGTAACTTGATTCACCTGTTCAAAATTGTTAGATATGGATATCTTCCAATTTGTGATCAGTTGGAGCTATGAAATGAAAACATTGAAAATACAAATTTCAAGACTCCAGATAATTCTAATACAGTAAGTTTAAGCTTTGACAACCTAAATGTAGAATTACTTGTTAAAAATAGTTTTTTATTAGTTATAAACCTATGGAACAGTTTGCCTATTGATATGTTCTGTTACTTTTAATTATCTTAAACTTTTGTTGGATACACAGTAAGTACATAGATGTGAATAGCTCCAATTAATTTAATATCTTGGCTGCATAATTGTGATGGGTGAGGAATTATCATAATGGGACATATTAGCCTTCTGTCTCCTTACTTTTTATTTATGTTATGCAAATTTTGTGTGCCTAGAGGTATGTTTGAGAGGTGGAATAAAATATTAGATAATAAACTTATGCACTGAGAACATCAAATATTTTCTTACAGAATTGAAATAGAAACTTGTGAATGATTTGCCTGATGATGGAATGTGTGTTATTTTAGCTTTTATTGATAATCAATGTTGTAAATTAATACTTATAAGTTTCTCATAATATAACATACATGTTAGGGCCAAGATCACTCTTAATAAATCAAACATATTGAAACCTTTGAATAAAAAAATCCTAGATATTTTGTATTATTGTGTACTTGCTTATATTAATAAGTCATCATTATCAGTTTGAGGTTTAACACTGGTATTCAGTGGTAAATTCTATCAGAATTAGTAACTTTGTTGTTTTTCTTTTGCTTAGAGTAAGATGTAAAGAAAATTTGTTTAAGGACAGTAACATTTATATATTACAATAAGAAATATGTTTAATTTTAAATCCAAGGCAAAATTTTTGTGCTTTCTTAAATTTAAAAGTTACAACTAAAGTTACTAAATTATATTTACTTAAGACAAAATTTTTGTTTAATTTCATTAAGATAATGATAAAGATGGTAGGAACTGAAAACAAGCACTCAGTTTATTCATCAAAGTTGTGTATCACACTGTCTCACAACTAGCAATTCATTACTCATAACTAAGTCTGTCAGTGTAATACAGACTGTTAAATCCTTAAGTATATAATAATTTACATGTAAAATGTGTGAAGGCATAAATTCTAAAATGGCTGGTACACTTAGCAGCTTTACTTTTAGGTCTAGTCAAAAAATAATCATTTAGGTTACTTCTTTCTCGTCAAGACAAATATGGCACAAGTTAAACTCATCAATAAAATATTGCAATTAAAACATTTACATGGCATATGGATAACAAGAGACCATACAGTCCTTCAACTTCAGTTCAAGGCTGTCCTTTTATACCCATCACTGAAGATGGGGGAGAAAAAAAAAAGATAAAAATAATTTAAATCCACTCTTTATATTTCATATATTCACAGATTCCCCTCTCAAACTTTCATAATTTCAGGCTTTTCCTTTATATAGATTTATTCTTATGTAATTTAAATTTATAATGCTTCTTGTGTTCAGCCTTCAGGTGCAAATATCCAGAAACCAATAAAATTATTACAATGTTTAAAAAAGGCATCCGTATGGAAATTTCAGCACAAAAATACTGTGGAACATGCCAATTCCTCTTCAGTTAGCACCATAGCAAGCTTAAAAGTTAGTATTTAATCATCAACGTTCAACTCTAAAGTTCAAGAGATGAAGTTCGGAACAGACGCTGATTTTTCAGTCGTATTGTTAGTATGACTACTAGTAATACTACTATTACTAATATAGATAATCAAAAACATTATGAGAACAAAAGTACGTTTTTCTTTAGCCTAGGTTTGACTTTTCAATAAGACCAACTAATAAGCAAAATACACTTATTAATAATTAAAAAAATCAATATATTCAACTATTTCTGCTTACTTTCTTCAGTTTTTACTAATGTAATAATAAAACATTAAAGAGTTAGGCCTAATTCTTGTTCTAGTAGTAATACTAATACTGAGTTGTAAATCATTAAATGTAATCAAACTTCAAAACCTTAACCGTTAAACTTTTAAACAATACTACAACTTAAAAACAAAAACTTACTGCCTAACAAGCGTCAAAGCAAATATAACCATTATTTCACGTTGAATCCTTCAAAAAATTTAAAACAACTATTTTAAGACATAATTTTGAACTACTACCACTAACAGATTAGCAATACCATGTAAAGTTCAAACTTTCGGGGAAAAAAACTCCCTTGTTTTTCTTTCCCTTCCAATGATTAAACGCCATCTCCAAGAGTACTACGTAATTTTTTATAGTGAAAAATTTGGCTTTATAGTTTTGAATGTGAATAACTTCTTAGAGTTGTAAAATAAACCTATTATCAGGTTAGTTGTGAAAAATTCTAGATACTAGTAGAACTTAAAACATGACTATGATTTGTATGACACAATCAAAAAATTACTAGCTATTTGTTTTAAGTAATTAACTTGAAGAAAGATGTTGCAAATTCTAGTATTGAAGTATTTGTCTGTTGCATTTTCGAGCAAAGCTACTCGAGAGCTATTTGCGCTAGCCATCCGTAATTTTAAAGTGATAGACTAAAAGGAAGGCAGCTAATCAACATACCAACTGCCAACTCTCGGGCTGATATTTACCAACGACTAGTAGGATTGAATGTCACTTTATAACATCCCCACGGCTGAAAGGCAGCATATTTCTTTAGTTGTTACTGATGAAGATTTAAGCAATATTCTTCATATTTAACAGTTGGTAGGTGGAAATAAGATAGAACAAGATGTTCACATTTATTCTGAACTTCTTGAGAAAAGATTGAGAAGTTTAAAGAAAGATAAAACTCCTAGGCCAGATAATATTTTCCCAAGTGTTTTGATGGATGTTAAGGATTGGATATGTGAGTCACTTGCTACTATTTTTTTCTAAGCCCTTGAATAGTGATCAGGTGCCAGAGGATTAAAAGTTGGCTAATGTTACTTCTCATTTCAAGGGAGGCGATAAAACTTGTCTCAGTAATTATACGCCTATTAGTGTAACATCAGTTGCGGGCAAAATTTTGGAAAGTCTGATAAAAGTAAAAGATGCTTCGCAAAGTCATTTAACAAAGTTTAGAATTTTTTTGGATACTAAACATGGTTTCACTAAGGGAAAATCTTGCCTTTCAAGTCTTTAACATTTTTTGAAAATGTTACCGTTTATGTAGATGAGTGAAAGGGTGTAAATTTGGTGTATCTGGATTTTCAGAAATCATTTGATAAGCTGCCACATGTAATGCTTGTAAAAAAAAATATATATTTCTATAGGTGTAGGATTAAGTTAGCTAATTGGATAGAAGATGGCTGGATGGAAGAAAGCGGAGGGTTGTTATAATTGAAGTTCAGTCAAACTGGATTAAAGTCACAAGTGAGGTACCTCAGGGCTCAGTCTTAGGACCTTTGCTCTTTTTGATTAACATCAGTGACATAGATGAATGAATGGTCAATAAATTACTTAAATTTGCTGATGATATTAAGCTCTTGGATGTTACTGGCAGTGAAGAGGATGCTGCTGCTTTACAAAAGGTTGTAGATCATTTAGTGACTTGGGCAAATAAATAGCAGATGGGTTTAATTATAATAAATGCAATATAATGCATGTGGCTTATCATAATTTAAGTTATAAGTATAATTTGGATGGGAATAACCTTAATTAACAGTGTCATGAGAGAAAGGGATCTTGGTGTAATGGTTGATCAGTCTCTTAAGCCATCCAAGCATACTTGTACAAAAAATCGGTTTTACATGAAAATACCAAAGGGTTAATGCAAAAAAGGAAGAATGGGTGTTAATTCGTATTTACACTTCAGAAGTATTGGTGGAAGCATATTTAATATAAAGATAAATATACATATATATTACTAAGCATCTCTTTAGCGCATTGGTTCACAAATTGTGGAGCGCTGGAAGAGAAAAAGACACACAATACTTTAGAATTGCCTTCAAATAAAGTACGAGGGTGAGAAAATGGATGGGTTATTGGCATACATATTTTATCATATTTGGACTAATGGGAATAAAAGTAGTGAGTAAGACAATAACGCAAGCCCAACCTTTCCATTGAAATTAGTAAGTTTAAGAATAACTTTACGAGCAATATGTTTAGAGATCTTTGACAAACAAATAGCCCTATGTTGTGAGAATGTCTTAAATGGTGCTCAGAATATATGTGGTTGGGAACAGCTGCTTTTGTGTACGTAAAGAAGATATAAATTCTGAATTACCATTTTTCTGAACTTATTTGAGAAATCTTTTCAGAATAAATATTTTATGCTTGTGACAATTACAGTTATATTTATTGCATAATATGATGTCGGTATTTCAGTGTAAATATAAAACAGTTTTGGTTGCATGTTATAAATAAGCAAAGCACCAATTTAGATCCTGAGAATGATAAATAAAATGTACATTTCCTAAAAAGAATCATCTGTTGATAATAGTTTTAGTTTTCTCTACGAACTATTCTTTCTTTTTAACATTAAACGTAGAACTATATTTCAGAGTTTATGTATATAAATAAAACTAAGTTACTTCATTATAAACGTTTTATTTTGAATGTGCTGTCCATCGTGTGAACACAAAATGTGATAAATGTGAGCAAAGTAATGATACTTGTTTCTTTTCTCTTAGATTTAACATGAGACTTTAGGCGTCACATCATTGTTAATTTTGAAATTCATTTCAGTGTTTGTAAATGTACGGGGACATCAAAATAAGTGATTTTTACGTTTTTTTTATGTTTTCATTCACCTTTATTCATCTCTGAAGGCAATTTTCCATTTGTAATTAACAAATTGGGTCGATAATTGTGGCTTGAAAACCAGTGTCAATCAGCATATTTCACAGTTTCCATCAATAAGAACATTAAAAAAATCGACGATTTTTTACATATTATAAACTTCTTTCTTAATTTGGGACAGATGGAATATTCTACTGAACTTTGTCAAATCAGTCCAGCTAATTCCTGTCTTTTTTATTTCTGGTTAGCCCTTTGTTGTTCCTTCAATATATTTGAGCTCAAACACTCATCCTTCGAGTATTATCTTTTTGACTTAATAGCAGCTGGTGATTCTTCACGGTCTCGGATGTAATGTACATATGGCCATATTTCCCAAATTATACCAGTTTCATCTTTCTAGTATCATTTGGGAGGAGTTATTATTCCATACAGGCTTTAATCTACAGTTCCTTGCGAATTATTTTTTCTGGTCTATTTCTTCCAATATGTGTGACTCTGTGTCTGAGTAATTTTTCCTCTTCATCTTCTAATGTTTCTAACCTTTTTAATACCAGGGACTGACTAGCTGCCCTCTAAACTCTTGCAAACCGCTAAAATACAGTACAAGAAAAAAATAACCATTACGACTTAAATACTAATATTCTATCAATTTTTGTTTCTTTTATTTTATACAATCCCACAGACTGACAAGGTGGTTATGATGGACTGGAGGGAATTGATGTTTCAGTACTACAGAACCTGATATTCCCATTCTTTTTAGATGGTTCCTTTAGTAGGTTATCTGCAAATTTAATGGATTAAATTCCATCTCCTACTAAAGAGCTTCTTTTAAGGATGTACACCTACTTTGCTTCTGCTTATTTCATGTATTCACATCTGTTATGGCATCTGTAAATTAGACACATGTCAATAAATCTATCATTTCACTGGGAACATTCAGGTAAGGTAATTGTACTGTGTTCGTTTGTTAAGTTTTCGTAAAAATTCTTTCCGAGAAACTTCATCGATACAAGTCTTTTCTTAAATAAAACTAGTTTATTCTATCTCGATTCAACTTTGCAATGCACTTAATTTCCACAGTCACTTTAACTTAAACATACGATATAATTCACAATGAACGATTCAAACATTTTACTTACTACCGCGCTTGACTCAATTGTCTGTCTCTATCTCTGCCTGTCTGCAATTATCTTTTATGCCGTCACTTCATTTGCCGTCTTATATATTGTTACGCCTCCGTTCGTTAGTTAATTTTCCGTAAAAAATTTTTTCCGAAGAAACTTTAGCGATACAATTCCTTTCTTAAATAAAACTGGTTTATTCTTTCTGAATACAACTTTGCAATACACTTAATTTCCACAGTCGCGCTATAACAAACACTATAATTCACAACGAACGTCTCACGTGCTCGACTCAACAATACGTCTCTCTGTCCGCAGTTCAATTACACATTACGTTGTTGCCGTCAGTTCTTACCGGTCTTATATATATATATACAAGACTATCACATATGTAGTAGCCTCCCGAGGCTTCAAGAAGGGACAGGATCCTTCTAGAAGTTCATGACGTGTTACTAGCGTCACGTGACTTCCGCTGTCTTAACAATATATAAAAAATAGAGGGCGCGTAGAGAAGACTAGAGTTGCCACGAACAGACATGATCCTTGTAGAATCTCATGACGTATTACTAGCCCCACGTGACATCCGCTGACGTAACAATAGGAATAACTTGATATTATCGTAATGCATCATTTAGCAAACATCTAAATTATAACATTAAAATAAAATATATAGCTTATAAGAGTATGATGATTTTAGTGATTTAGTATAAAAATGCTTATCCAACAAAACGCGGAAAAGGTACTAGACCGAAGATTTAGAACAATAAAGAACCAAGCTCAGAAAAAATTACAAGTTTGTTATTAAAACAAACTAATTGTCTTTATAACAATTCTAGGCCCATTGGTTTTCAAATATTTCTCCGGCTTTCAGCGTCCATAAAATTTACAAATCTGCACAAAAGTATAACGTTACTGGATCAGCTATCGTTTTTATAAGCAGTACATTACACTCTAAATAAGTTAGTCAAAGCTTGGGAAATGAAAACTGAAAGTTGAATAATCAAACTTTAGTTTCAATTATTATTTGAAACTCCAATCAATCTTAGAAAAAGTTGGATGAATAGGTAATATCTAAGCATTAAGTGTTGTGCAATCTCTATTGGTAGGTTAGCGAACTAACAAAGCCATGTAAAATTCGTGTTTTTTAGGCAATGTCGAAATTTGAAGATTATAAATAGGTGGGAATTACTATTTAAACAAAATAGTTTGCTGAATGTCACTTAAATAAAAAAAAAGATACGCTTATTTGTTGTTAAACTGAAAATTGCACAATGGACTATTTGTGCTGTGTTTACCACGGATATCGAAACCCGATGTTTAGCTACATAAG